ATGTAGATGTAGATGTAGATGTAGATGTAGATGTAGATGTAGATGTAGATGTAGATGTAGATGTAGATGTAGATGTAGATGTAGATGTAGATGTAGATGTAGATGTAGATGTAGATGTAGATGTAGATGTAGATGTAGATGTAGATGTAGATGTAGATGTAGATGTAGATGTAGATGTATGATGTATGTATGTAGATGTAGATGTAGATGTAGATGTAGATGTAGATGTAGATGTAGATGTAGATGTAGATGTAGATGTAGATGTAGATGTAGATGTAGATGTAGATGTAGATGTAGATGTAGATGTAGATGTAGATGTAGATGTAGATGTAGATGTAGATGTAGATGTAGATGTAGATGTAGATGTAGATGTAGATGTAGATGTAGATGTAGATGTAGATGTAGATGTAGATGTAGATGTAGATGTAGATGTAGATGTAGATGTAGATGTAGATGTAGATGTGGATGTGGATGTAGATGTAGATGTAGATGTAGATGTAGATGTAGATGTAGATGTAGATGTAGACGTAGACGTAGATGTAAATGTAAATGTAGATGTAGATGTAGATGTAGATGTAGATGTAGATGTAGATGTAGATGTAGATGTAGATGTAGATGTAGATGTAGATGTAGATGTAGATGTAGGTGTAGCTGTAGCTGTAGGTGTACATGTATACGTAGATGTAGGTGTAGATGTCGATGTAGATGAAAATGTAGATGTAGATGTAGATGTAGATGTAGATGTAGATGTAGATGTAGATGTAGATGTAGATGTAGATGTAGATGTAGATGTATATGTAGATGTAGATGTAGATGTAGATGTAGATGTAGATGTAGATGTAGATGTAGATGTAGATGTAGATGTAGCTGTAGCTGTAGATGTAGATGTAGATGTAGATGTAGGTGTAGATGTAGATGTAGATGTAAATGTAAATGTAAATGTGAATGTAAATGTAAATGTAAAGGTAAATGTAGGTGTAGGTGTAGGTGTAGGTGTAGGTGTAGGTGTAGGTGTAGGTGTAGATGTAGATGTAGATGTAGATGTAGATGTAGATGTAGATGTAGATGTAGATGTAGATGTAGATGTAGATGTATATGTAGATGTAGATGTAGATGTAGATGTAGATGTAGATGTAGATGTAGATGTAGATGTAGATGTAGATGTAGATGTATATGTAGATGTAGATGTAGATGTAGATGTAGATGTAGATGTAGATGTATATGTAGATGTAGATGTAGATGTAGATGTAGATGTAGATGTAGATGTATATGTAGATGTAGATGTAGATGTAAATGTAGATGTAGATGTAGATGTAGATGTAGATGTAGATGTAGATGTAAATGTAGATGTAGGTTGTAAGCTGTAAAGCTGTAGGTGTAACATGTATACGTGGATGTAGGTGTAGGATGTGATGTAGATGAAAATGTAGAGTTGGTGTAGGATGTGGATGTAGATGTAGATTGGAGTCTCGCTGTCGATGTGGTAGATTAATTTAGATGTAATGTAGTAGATGTAGATGTAATGTAATGTAGAGATGTAAAGATGTAGATGTAGAATGAATGTTATATGTAGATTGTAATAAAGAAGTAGATGTATATGTAGATGTAGAGTAGATGTACGATGAAGATGTAAGTAGGTGCGGATGTAGATGCATATGTAAATGTAGATGTACAATGTAATGTAAATGTAGATTGTAGATGTAGGTGTAGGTGTAGGTGTAGGTGTAGGTGTAGATGAGATGTGAAAAAAAAAAATTTAAATAGTAAATGTAGATGTAGATGAGATGTAGATGTAGATGTAGATGTAGATGTAGATGTAGATGTAGATGTAGATGTAGATGTAGATGTAGATGTAGATGTAGATGTAGATGTAGATGTAGATGTAGATGTAGATGTAGATGTAGATGTAGATGTAGATGTAGACGTAGATGTAGATGTAGATGTAGATGTAGATGTAAATGTAGATGTAGATGTAGATGTAGATGTAGATGTAGATGTAGATGTAGATGTAGGTGTAGATGTAGATGTAGGTGTAGATGTAGGTGCAGATGTAGATGTAGATGTAGCTGTAGCTGTAGATGTAGATGTAGATGTAGATGTAGGTGTAGGTGTAGGTGCAGATGTAGATGTAGGTGTAGATGTAGATGTAGCTGTAGCTGTAGATGTAGCTGTAGCTGTAGATGTAGATATAGATGTAGATGTAGATGTAGCTGTAGCTGTAGTGTAGGTGTGGATGCAGATGTAGCTGTAGATGTTGATGTAGATGTAGATGTAGATGTAGCTGTAGATGTAGATGTATACACATATGCACAAATATGTATGCACATAGATTTGCATACATGCATGCATGCACGCATACATACATACGTACGTACGTACGTACATACATACATGCAAACGTACATACGCACATCCATCCATCCATCCATCATACATACATACATACGAGAGAGCGCGTTTCACGGGCGCTTGCCTTGGGAACATTCGGCGGCGTGTTTCGAACCGGGGGGTGGGCCTCCCCCTAACACTCGGCGCCGTCGATCAAAACCAGGGGGACCCCCCTCCCCCCCAAACCCCCTCTCCCGAACCCACCCCCCTCTCCCAAACGGGGGGGGGTTCAAAGCCCGCCCCCCCAGCGCCAGGGCTGGCGGCCGCCAGCAGCGCCGACGGCAGGGACGCAACGACGATGACCAGAGGCAGCCGAAGGGGGTGGGGGCTTGAACACCCCCCCCTCCTGTCGCTGGCGGCGGCCAGCAGCGCCGGCGCTCGCGCCGGCGACGGCGGGGACGCAGCGACGATTACCACCACTACCACCACCACCACCACCACTACCACCACCACCACCGCCTCAACCCACCACCACCACCACCAACCCACCACACAACCACCACGACCACCACAGCCACCACCACCACACAACCACCACCACCACAACTCACCATCACCACCACCACCAAAAAAACAAAACTAGGGGGCAAACAGACCTACCTCGTTTTTGACCACCCTCGCTTCCAAGAGATACCAAGCGATGCCAAACAACGCCCTGTACTGGTCAGGCCGCTTGACGAGGAGGCGCGTTGTATGACTTGGTTTTGCCTGGAAGCGAAAGCGGGGTAGGTAATTCACGCTTTGAAAAACACCACTACCACCACCATCACCACATTCTACCACACCACCACCACCACCACCACCACCACCGCCACAACCACCACCACTACCAGAAGCACAACCCAGCACCACAAACCACCACACCACCACCACCACAACTCCACCTCCACAAACCACAGCCACCACCACAACCCACCACCACCACCACCACAAACCACCACCACACTACCATCAAACCATCACCACCACCACCACCACCACAACCCACCACCACCACCACAATCCACCACCGCACCACCACAAAACCACCACCACCACCATCCACCACCCACCACCACAACCACCACCACCACCACAACAAACCACCACACCACCACCACCACAACCACCACCACCGCCACCACCACCACCACAACCCACTACCACCACCGTTGTCCTCGTCGACGCTCCCCGCCGCCGCAGCCCGCCGCCGCAGGCGCCGGCGCCGGCCCAGAAAAGGAAATCGTCGTCGCCGCCGCCGCCAGCCGCCGCCGACGCAGGCGCCGGCCCGAGGAGAGAGGAGAGGTAGGGAGGGTAAGGGTGGGGGAGGGGGGGGGGGGGGGTCGAACCCCCCCCCATCCGTCACGAAGGCTGGGGGTCGAACCCCAACCGCCCACACCTCCATCAGGGGGGGGGCGGTGGGGATTTCCAAACCCCCCCCCTCCAAGCGACGACCACAGAACGCGCTCTTTCATTCATACATACATACATACATACATACATACATACATACATACATACATACATACATACATACACGCATACATACATGCATGCATGCATGCATGCAGACAGACAGACAGACAGACAGACAGACAGACAGACAGACAGACAGACAGACAGACAGACAGACAGACAGAGAGACAGACAAACAAACAAACGAACAAACATACATACATATATACATACATATACATGCATGACATGCATGCATACATGCATGCATGCATGCATACATACATGCATACATAAACACATACATACATACCTACAAACATACATACATACGTACATGCATACATGCATGCATGCATGTATGCATACATACATACATACATGCACGAATGCATGCATACATATATACATACATAAATGCATGCATACAACCATACCTAAACATATACATGCATACATACATACATACATGCATACATACATACACACATACATGGCATGCATACATAGTATACAAACATACATACATACATACATACATACATACATACATACATACATGCATGCATGCATGCATGCATGCATACATGCATACATGCATACATGCATACATGCATACATGCATACATGCATACGTACGTACATACATTACATACATATATACATACATACATACATACATACATACATACATACATACATACATACATACATACATACATGCATGCATGCATGCATGCATGCATACATACATACATACATACATACATACATACATACAGACACACATACATACATACATACATACATACATACATACATACATACATACATGCATACATGCATGCATGCATGCATGCATGCATGCATGCATGCATACATACATACATACATACATACATACATACATACATACAGACAGGCAGGCAGGCAGGCAGGCAGACAGACAGACAGACAGACATACGTACATACTGACAGACAGACAGACAGAAAGACATGCATGCATGCAAGCATGCATACGCACATGCATCCATATACACATACAGACAGACAGACAGACAATGCATGCACACATTCATATACACAGATCTTCGGGGACGAAGACGGGTATGAAGTAAACTGTTCCGCTTCTCGTCCGCTAAGTGTCCCGGGGCCGCGGGCCCCAGGGGGGCGCCCTGCCTCTGGCGGCGCCTCCTTCTTCTTCTGCAGCTGCTGCTGCCTCTCCTCGTACTCGCGCTTGCGGCGCTCCTCGCCGGCAAGCCCGCGGCAGGGACGGGCGGCCGCCAGGAGGACCGGGACCTGCTGCGAACCCAGGCCCGCTTGCGCCGTGAAGGAATCCCACCAGCCCTGGCGACAGGTGGTGTAACGAGATTCCTCCTCCCTCTTCCAAAAAACACCCTCTTCCCCTACGGGGAGAGGTTTACCCCCCTCCCCTTACCCCTCCCCTGGACTTTTCCGGGCCCCCCCGCGAGGTGTCAGGGCGTCCAAGACGGCCTCGGCGAGGAAGCCAAAATCATTAGTTTTACTAAGGTTGTGGGCCCCATTTTGGCTTCTTTGGGGGGGGGCTGAAAAATTGTCCACCAGCCCTCTGGGCGCCAAAATCATTGGTTTTACCAAGGTGTTGGCCCCATTCTGGCCTCGTTGGGGGGGGGGCTGAACGTTATCCCACCAGCCCTCTGGGCGCCAAAATCATTGGTTTTACTAAGGTTCTGGCCCCATGTTGGCCTCTTTGGGGGGGGGCTGAACGTTATCCCCGCTCCTCCGTTGATCGATGGCCTTCAAGATGGCCCCAAGAAGCCTTCCAGGGCTCCCAAGAGGGCCCAAAGAGGACCCCAAGACGGCCCCAGAGGCCTCCAAGACGCCCAAGACGGCCTCCAAGACGGCCAAGATGGCCCCAAGATGCCTTCTAGACGGCCCAAGGTGCACCCAAGAGGCCCCCACGAGGCCTCCAAGACGGCCCAAGAGGCCTCCAGGAGGTCTTCCAGGAGGGCCCGAAGAGGCCCAAATCATTGAGGTCCCTAAGGTTTTTGGGATGATCTCCACCCCGCAGACCGGCTCGGGGAGAAAAGGCCCGCCCCTGGGACGGGACCCCCCTCGAGTGCGGGAACGTCCACGGAATGACCTTGCCCCAAAATTGCTTCGTCGAATCTGCGAACACATGCATAGCACGTTCGCGCGCATGCAAAAACTGCACGCGTTGCCCGTGGATTCGATGCACAGCTCAAGTTTGGTGTCAACCACTTCTGTCGTGGATTCCCTGCCCCGGAATTGCGAGGATGTCTCGAACGAAAATGGCCTGAACACATGAGCTCAGGGCATCCCTGAATCCAAAATTGCGAGGATGTCTCAGGTGAAAGTGGCGGACTACTCTGCGGCAAGGCATCTCGGAATCCAGAGTTGCGAGGATGTTTCTAGCGAAAGGACAGCAACATTCGCGGGGGAGCAGTCGCAAGGGGAAGGGGAGAGGGGGTGAGGGCAAGCTAGGCGCGCTCGCGTCAGATCTGACGTCCCACTACTCCCTCCCATCCCTGACCATGGCGTAGATCTTCTCTCTATTCGCACAGTCGGATGTCGAGCAGGGCAATGATCGCGAGAGGGTGCGCGATGCATCGTAGAGCACGGCATGGCATAGCGTAGAAGAGCATGGCAGAGCGTAGAATGTTATAGCATGGCAGCGTGGCATTGCGTAGTGAAGCATTGCATCACAAAGCAGTGCAATGCAAAGCACGGCATCGCGCAGCCGCGCAGAACAGAACACTGGACAGCACGTCATGGCAGGGCACTGGGTTCCTTGGAGGGTAAGTGGATCGTCTCCGAAGGGCTTGGGCCTGTCTGGAGTCGCGGCTGCATGTTTAACTCCATGGGCTCCCCGAAAAGCTCACCACAAAGCGGGGCTGATGGAGAGCACCCGCTGGCTATGCTTGCAACATCGCCTTCTGAAAGCAGAAACGGGGCTCCCGCTCAACATTTCCTCCACACGACGCCACCCCGAAGTGGGGGGGGCCTTCTGCGGTCAAATTATCCTGGCGAAGGCCCCAACCATATGCAATTGTGAACAACGCTTTGTGGGTGCCGCTTTCGGTGGGGCTCCTTATGGGGCCACGAAAGGCGTGCCACGAAACGCTGTCCTGGGCGTACGGGACGCATGAGGGCGGTAGCACTGGGGCCTTCGGTGGAGCTCCCTATGGGGCCACGAAACGTGTGAGGGGTGTGCCGAAATGGGTGCGGCGCCGCCATGCCAACGCAGCCACTGGGGCCTTCGGTGGAGCTCCCTATGGGGCCACGAAACGTGTGAGGGGTGTGCCGAAATGGGTGCGGCGCCGCCATGCGGACGCAGCCACTGGGGCCTTCGGTGGAGCTCCCTGTGGGGCCACGAAACGTGTGAGGGGTGTGCCGAAATGGGTGCGGGACGCATGCGGACGCGGCCATGGGGCCTTCGGTGGAGCTCCCTATGGGGCCACGAAACGTGTAGGTGTGCCGAAATGGGTGCGGCGCCGCCATGCCAACGCAGCCACTGGGGCCTTCGGTGGAGCTCCCTATGGGGCCACGAAACGTGTGAGGGGTGTGCCGAAATGGTGCGGCGCCGCCATGCCAACGCAGCCACTGGGGCCTTCGGTGGAGCTCCCTATGGGGCCACGAAACGTGTGAGGGGTGTGCCGAAATGGTGCGCGGCGCCGCCATGCCAACGCAGCCACTGGGGCCTTCGGTGGAGCTCCCTATGGGCCACGAAACGTGTGAGGGGTGTGCCGAAATGGGTGCGGCGCCGCCATGCCAACGCAGCCACTGGGGCCTTCGGTGGAGCTCCCTATGGGGCCACGAAACGTGTGAGGGGTGTGCCGAAATGGGTGCGGCGCCGCCATGCCAACGCAGCCACTGGGGCCTCGGTGGAGCTCCCTATGGGGCCACGAAACGTGTGAGGGGTGTGCCGAAATGGGTGCGGTGCCGCCATGCCAACGCAGCCACTGGGGCCCTCGGTGGAGCTCCCTATGGGGCCACGAAACCTTGTGAGGGGTGTTGCGCTTGTGAGGGGTGTTGCAAATTGGGTGCGGCGCCTGCCATCCAAACCTGCCACTCGGGCCCTACGGTGAAGCTCCCCCTACGGTGAAGCTCCTATGGAGCCTACGAAACGTTTGAGGGGGTGTGCCGAATGGTGCGGCGGGGCCGCCATGCCAACTGCAGCCACTGGGGCCTTCGAGAGCCCCTTTAATTTGGAACACGAAAACGAGTGAGGGGTGTGCCGAAATGGGTGCGGCGCCGCCATGCCAACGCAGCCACTGGGGCCTTCGGTGGAGCTCCCTATGGGCCACGAAACGTGTGAGCGGTTGTGCCGAAATGGGCGCGGCGCCGCCATGCCAACGCAGCCACTGGGGCCGTCGGTGGAGCTCCCTATGCGGCCACGAAACGTGTGGGGGTGTGCCGAAATGGGTGCGCGCCGCCATGCCAACGCAGCCACTGGGGCCTTCGGTGGAGCTCCCTATGGGACCACGAAACGTGTGAGGGGTGTGCCAAATTGGGTGCGGCGCCGCCATGCCAACGCAGCCACTGGGGCCTTCGGTGGAGCTCCCCATGGGGCCACGAAACGTGTGAGGGGTGTGCCGAAATGGGTGCGGCGCCGCCATGCCAACGCAGCCACTGGGGCCTTCGGTGGAGCGCCCTATGGGGCCACGAAACGTGTGAGGGGTGTGCCGAAATGGGTGCGGCGCCGCCATGCCAACGCAGTCACTGGGGCCTTCGGTGGAGCTCCCTATGGTGCCACGAAACGTGTGAGGGGTGCCGAAATGGGTGCGGCGCCGCCATGCGAACGCAGCCACTGGGGCCTTCGGTAGAGCTCCCTATGGGGCCACGAAACGTGTGAGGGGTGTGCCGTGATAGTGGGAGGAGGGAGGAGGGAGGGGGGAGGAGGCGGAGGAGGAGGAAGGAGAGGAGACGCGGGGCACCGTCTCTTCAAAATGAGGACCCAACACCACAGGATGGTTGGGAAAAACTCAACGAATCGACGCTGGATGTGCAATCACTTGCGATGAAAGACAGCACAGCGTGAGGAATCTGCGGCCAGCCAGGGGGGCAATGGGAGGAAGCAACAAGGAAGACATGGAGCACCCAAGCGAGGAGGTGAAAGGCGACAGCGGCGACTGAGGCTGAATGGAAGAGCAGGGCGCACGCATGTTTGTCCCTATCGGCTCCTCCTCCTCCTCCTCATCCTCCTCCTCCTCCTCCTCCTCCTCCTCCACCTCCTCCTCCTCCTCCTCCTCCTCCTCCTAGGGCCCGGACCCCAAAATCACGAATCTGGGCGCACCCTCTGGGTTCGCCCTAATGTTCCCGCATGGCTCTTTCGGAGCCAGGAGGGCCCCAAGACGGGGTGAGAGGGCGGTACCCTGGCGCCCCAGATGGCCTCAAAACGGCCCAGGAAGCTTTCGAGACGCCCCAAAAGAGCCACGAGAGCCTCCCCAAGAGGGCCCCGAGAGGCCAAAATCCTGAATGCGCCTTCGCTTTTTCAATGCTTTGGGGGTTTTCGACTTTTGGAGCTTCCAGCGTTTCATGACGTCCCAAGACGCCCCCAAGACCGCCTCAAAACGGCCCCACAAGACCCAAAACGGCCCCAAGACGGCCCGAGAGCTCCGAAACGGCCCAAGAGGCGCTCAAGGTGACCCGAGAGCGCCCCAAGACAGCCCCAAGAGCAGTCCAAGAGGGCAACATGAACCAAGATAAGTGCCTTCCGCACCAAGAGGCGCCCAGCAGGCCCCACGAGGCCCCCGGCGGGCCCAAAAGAGGCGCCCAAGAGGCCCCCACAGGGCCCCAAGAGGCCCCCGAGAAGTCAAAACAACTACCCCAGAGGCCCTAAAAAAAAGCCCCATTGAGGGATCAAGACCCAAGAAGGTATATGCGGGAGGGGAGGGGGGGGCCCGAGGCGGCCCCCAGAGCGCTCCAGGCCGTCCCGCAGGGCCTCTAGACGGCTCCGCAGGCCCCGAGGAGGCCGCAGGAGAGCCCCGAGCGCGGCGAGGAGGCGGCAGAGACATAGCGAGCGGGAGAGCGGGCGGGAGGGCTCCCTCGCCTGGCGCTGGCGGCCCGCGCCCACCCTCGGCGCTGCGCTCGCGCGCGCCGCGCGCTGGTGGGAAGGGGGGGTGCCCCGGCGTCCTTGGCCTCCAGCTTCTCCTGCTTCTCCCTCCTCTTGCGCTCCTCGGCGAGGCCCCAGGGGGCAGGATCCGTCAACATCGGACCGACGCGCATCGGGTCGGGCGGCATCGGCACGGAGTCGAAATCAGACCGGATCGGCTGCGCCAGGGTGCACAGCAGCACCATGGAAGCACCGAGTCGCATCGGACCGTCGGGGCATCGGAAGCGAATCGGGTCGGGCCGGCCGGAATCGGCATCGGACCAGATCGATCGGGTCGAAGTGGACCCCCGGTAGAGGGGGTGCGGCTGAGGGGGGGGGCATACACGGGGAAACCAAAAGGCACCAATACCGCTACTCCCCAGACCCCCTCCCGCGGTGCGGTCTGACCAGAACTTCGAAGCGAATCCAGCGGTGGCGCCCGCGCGCGGGGCGCGCCGTGGCCGCACCTCGGGCCGCCGCGGTGCGCGCGCGCTATGAGAGTGAGAATGGAGGCAGCCTTGGCATAGCGATAGCGGTCGCTCGGAGGTTGGAGGGGAGATGGAGGGGCAGCGATGGCGATCGCTTGGGGGAGGAAGAGGGGAGGGGACGAGGAGGAGAAGGAGGGGGAAGAGGAGGCCCAAAAAAGGGAAAGCGAGGGACGGGCAGAGGCACGGGCACCTCTCCCTCCTCCGAAATAGAGCAGGGGCAGCCCGCCGCTGGCGCTGCCTGCTCTGCGCGGTGGGCCTCCCTGTGCGCCCCGCACGTGTCGGTGGCAACTCATGGGAGCCTCCCCTGCCACCTTGTCGGCTCTTGCGAATCGACGCTAGTCGACGCTGAACCGACGCTAGTCGACGCTAAATCGACGCTCATCGACGCTGAGCCGACGCTAAATCGGCGCCATCTCGTCGACGCCCAGACGCTAGCCGGCGCTGAAGACAGAATTACGAGGGTACACAAGGCTCCCATGATTTGCTACGGCAGGTTCGTGTCGTGCCGACCCCAGCGTTGGTTTTTGACACCGCAGGGATCGTTCAACCTTGAACGATCGGCCGCTGCCGCAACGTCCGATCGTTCAACATCGATCGATTCTGGATCGCCGGCGGCGTTCAACCTTGAACGCCCGCGCTGGGGTCGCCGCTGGTCGACACGACGCAAACCTACCGTACCCAAGCACCTGGCGCCAGAGCTGGCCGCCTGGGCAGGCCAGCGCGCCCCAGGGGCCAACGTCCCTCCGCCTCAAGCCGGGACGCGAGGCCGCGGACCCCCATGGCCGAGCCCCACCGGGGGGGGAGGAGGAGGAGGAGGAGGAGGAGGAGGAGGAGGAGGAGGAGGAGGAGGAGGAGGTAGGAGGAGGAGGAGGAGGAGGAGGAGGAGGAGGAGGAGGAGGAAGGAGGGGAGAGGAGGGAGGAGGAGGAGGAGGGGAGGAGGAGGAGGGGGAGGGGTGGGAGGAGAGGAGGAGGAGGGAGGAGGAGGAGCAGGAGGAGGAGGAGGAGAAGCAGGAGGAGGAGGAAGAGGAGGAGGAGGAGGAAGAAGAGGAGGGAGGAGGAGGCGGCGGAGGAGGGGCAGGGGCAGGCCGACAGGCCGGCAGGAGGAGGGGGGGGGAGGGCGAGGAGGCGGACCAGAAGGAGGACTCGGGGGGGGGCCCTGGAGGAGGTCACGTGGCGGACTCGGGGGCGGACGACGCGCTCTGCACGTCCACGCCCGCCCCCCCCCCAAGGAGACGTCCTCGGAGAACGACCCGAGGCCCCCAAAGTCGCGCAGTGGCCCCGGATCCCCACGGACTCGCCGCGCGGGGTGGTCACCACGCCGTCTGAGCGCGTCTCCTGGCGCTGGAGGCGGCCATGTGTCGAGCAAGCTGAATGGTGACGGGGCGAAAACCCGTTTCCCTCCTCCCCTTCCCCGCCCACCGCTCTCGTCCCAAACCCTAGAGGTTCCAGAGACCGTCTCGGAAAGCCATAACGAGGGGCAACGTTAGGAGAGGAACCTGCTCAGGGGGGCAAGCATCGACCTGGAATCGGCGATACCTTGCCGATAGATCGGCGGTAGGCGTCCGACAGCAGAACCCCACGTTCCTGGGCGGGGTGGGCTATCGGGCCCCCATCGGTGATCAGTGTGCAATTGGGGGTCGATGCATTCCCCCCTGCACCAAATCCCTCGCTGACATTGCCCTCTGACTGTCGGGTCACAACTCGGCTCTCTGGCGGCCGTTCGAGACGATCCGGGCACCGCCAGAACGCTCTCGGCGAGGCGCAGCCGCTGGAGAGCATCCCGAGGCTGGAAGACCGCCGAGAACCAACGAAAACCCTCTTTAAACCTCCTCGAGCCTCGAGTCCGAAGCTTCCCCCCCCCTGAGCCCATCCCTCCCCGAAGCTGCCCCTGGCAGCAGCGTTTCCCAAAAAAGTGCTGCCCCTGCACCCGGGTCCCAGAGATCCTGGGGGGCGCCGCCTCCCGTTCGGGATTGCCGAAGGTCGTCCTGGCCAAAGGTGTCCCCCAGCGCCTTGCACCATGGAGCGCACGAGGGCCCTACAGACCTTCTCGAGCCTCGAGCCCGAAGCTTCCCCACCTGAGCCCATCCCTCCTCAAAGCTGCCACTGGCAGCAGCGTTTCCCAAAAAGGTGCCGCCCCTGCGCCCCCGGGCCCCAGAGATCCCGCGGCGCGCGCCTCCGGTTCTGGGGGGGCCGCAGGTGTCCCTGGCCCAAGGTGTCCCCCCAGCGTCTTGCACCGTGTGGGAGCTCACGAGGGCCCTGTGAGCCTCGTGAGGGGCGCCCTGGAGGCCGTGGGAGCCTCCCGGGAAATCCGGGGGACCCCCCTGGGCCAGGGGCACCTCTGGCAGCACCCGCCCTGGGCCAAGCGGCGGAGTCGGCCCTGCGCCTGGGCATCCGACCGAGTACCCTCCGGGTTCCAGGATCTGGCAGGGCAGGCCCCCTGGATTAGAACAAGAATGAACGGCAGAACTACTACCCCCCCTCCCGCCCCAAGGGGCCCCCAAGAGCCCCCTAAGAGGCCACGGGGGAGCCCAAGACGCCGCCAAGGAGCCCCAAGACGCTCCCAAGAAGCCCCCAAGAGGCCCCCAAGACGGCCCCAAGAGGCCCCGAATAGCGCTCCAGGGCCGGCGAATGAGCGAAGGGATTAAATAAACTTGTGGCGCTCCGCCTGGATTTCTTGGATCTGCGCTGAACCCCCCTCCCTGGCGCGCGGGCCGCCAAGGGCGCCCAGGCGCTGGTCCAAGAAATCCGCGCGGAGCGCCAAAAATTTACGGTTATGCCGTTTTCCTTCTTCGACCTAGATCGGACACCTTGCTGGGGCACCAGCTCCAGCACCCTGGGGGCCACACCGAGAACCGACGAAAGCCCTCTGAACTTCCTCGAACCTCGAGTCCGAAACTTCCTCTCTGAGCCCGACCCCCCAGCGATAACCCCGATCCCCCGAAGGCTGCCCGAGAGGCCCGCGGGGAAGGCGCGGAGCTCCTCTTCCTCCTGCTCGAGCGCCTCCTCCCGCCTTAGCGGCGCGCACAAGGGGGTAGGCAGGGGGGGGAAGGCTTCTTAGAAGGAGGCTTCTTCTTAGAAGCTGTCGGACTTACATCTAAAAGTTAGGCCCGCCCCTTCTAAGAAGCAGGGGTGCTTCTAAAAAGCCTTCACCCCTCCCCCTGCCCCGCTCTGCGCGTGGCCGACCGCCTCTTCCTCTCGGCCTCGGCGGCCTCCTTCTCCTCTCGCCGGCGCCGCCTCGCCGCCTCCGCCTCGTCCTGCCCGCGGCGGCAGCGAAGGCAGAGAGATAGAGAAGAGAGAGAGAGAGAGCGCGTGCGCCCGCCTTGACTCTGACTATACCTACCAAGACACCCCAGCCCAACCCGCAGACCCAGAATGCGGGCTGGGGGAGAAGGATGAGGAGGAGGAGGAGGAGGAGGAGGAGGAGGAGGAGGAGGGTAAGGGTTCCACGCGTGTTTTTTTCTATGCTCCCCGACGACTCTCCCCACTGGGAATGGAGGGCAAATGGGAGCCTTCGCGTCGGGTTGGGGGGGCTTGGTGGGTGGTGGACCTCCGGCTCATACCTCGCGCACATCCCTCCCCCCTTGAGCTTCCCCGTCGTCCCCTCGTCCCGCCCACCCACTCCGCTCCCTGCTCCTCGTCTCCTCCGTCCTCCCCGTCCGCACGTCATCCCCCCCCCTCCCCACGTCCGCCCGCCTTCCCCTGCTGACCTCCGCTCGGCAAGGACGGAGGTGCTCCAGCGGGGGAGCGCCCAAGAAGCCCCAGACTGCCAAGCTGCCTCTGACCTCTCGCCCGTGTCGCTTCGCTCTCTGGGCACTGCGGCTCAGGATGGTTTCGGGAAGAGTTCCGACGACACCCTGATGGGCAACGTTCGGGGGGGACTGCTCATGCGGTGAGACGTCGACCTGGTGCCAGCAATACATCGCCAATAGTTCGGCGCGAGGCCCCCCGTAGTCAGGCCCCATGTCGGCGATGGATTGGCGATCCAGGGCCGATTGATTCCCCCCTGAGCCAAATTGATGAGCCTGTTGTCCACCACCACCACCATAAGGTGGAGGGGGGAGGGAGGAGGAGGGCGAGGAGGAGGAGGAGGAGGAGGAGGACCCCCTCCCCCTCCAACTTATGGTGGCGGTGGAAAACACGCCCATCACAAATCCCTCGCTGGCATTGCCCTCTGACTGTCGGGTCACAACTCGGCTATCCAGCGACCGTTCGGGACGATCCGGGCACCGCCGAAACGCTCTCGGCGAGGCGCAGCCGCTGGAGAGCATCCCGAGGCTGGAAGACCGCCAAGAACCGGCGAAAACCCTCTAAACCTCCTCGAGCCTCGAGTCCGAAGCTTTCCCCCCCTGAGCCCATCCCTCCCCAAAGCTGCCCCTGGCAGCAGCGTTTCCCGAAAGAGTGCCGCCCCTGCGCCCTGGGGTCCCAGAGATCCTGGGGGGCGCCGCCTCCCGTTCGGGGACCGCCGGAGGTCTTCCTGGCCCGGGCTGTCCCCCAGCGCCTTGCACCGTGGAGCGCACGAGGGCCCTACAAACCTCCTCGAGCCTCGAGTCCGAAACTCCCCCCCCCCCGGAGCCCATCACCCCCATACCGAGAGCCCCGACCCCCGAAGAGTTGAGCAGGGACCGACCGTCCCGGCATTCCTAGTCATACCACGGGATGTTCTTAGAACCCAAAAAATGTTCTAAGAAAAAACAATGTTCTTAGAACATAAACCCAATGTGTCAAAACAAGACAGTCCCAGCCAGAAATGTTCTAAGAACATGTCGTGGGAACCACAAAAGGTTCTTAGAACATTGCTTGGTGGGGCTATAGGCGAGCTGGGCCGCTTCGCCACTGCTTGAAAGAGGGCCCGAGAGGCCCGCGGGAGAGGCGCCGAGGCGCCGGCCGCCCGGCTCCTGCCGGCGGCGCTCGGGAGCGCCGCCCTCGCCGGGCGGCCTTCCCTGCCAGGGCCGCCCGCTCGTTCGGCCGCCTGCTCCTCACCCCGGTGGCAACTCATGGGAGCCCTCGATACAATCTTGGCCACGCGAATCGACGCTACATCGACGCCAACCGACGCTCAATCGGCGCCATCTCATCGACCCCCAGACGCTAATCGACGCTAGTCGACGCTAAAGACGGAATTAAGAGGGTATACCAGCCTCCCGTGATATGCGACCGAAGCTCCTCACCATACAACCAAAACTGGTAGCGAGGATGCGAGATAAGAATGCAAGCCCCTTGGACGCCGTGCTTATGCTTCGTCGGGCGCGACGGGCCATCGAAAGTAGTCGAGGATGGACAAAGGAGGCACGGATGCAATGGGTATCCTTGCGAAGTTTACCCATCCTTACCATCGGTTTTGACTGTAGTACAACAAGTTCGCGTCGTGTCGACTCCGTCGTTGGTCTCTGGCACCAGAAGGTCGTTCAACCTGTAACGATCGGCTGTTTCAGAAACGTCCGATCGTTCAACATCGACCGATTCTGGGTCGCTGGAGGCGTCCCACGTTGAACGCCGGCGGTGGGGCCGCCGCTGGTCGACACGACGCGAACCTACCGTAGGAGGGCACCAGCTGTACACCTGCGCCGATCCTGGCCAGTCTCATCCTGGGCCCTGGATCGGCGTGCATGCCCGCCTGACCGAGCAAGAAGTACGTAACCGCCGATCCAGGGGCCATGGATCGGGCTGGCCAGCATCGGCGCAGGTGTATAGTTGGTGTCCTTCGGTTCACCCTTCGGCTCACCAGCGTTACTACCACCGTCAACACCATCATCCTCGTGCCCGTCGCCATGCCCGCCGACTATTACCCACCGTCGCTACGGCCATCCGCCTGTTTCCTCTGCCACTCTCGTGGCCCCCTCATCAGAGAGCCGCCAGCTGCCATCTTGGGGCAGCAGTCTCCTCTCACACATGACCGAGGTGTTTTCTCATTCGCGCAGGTAAAGGGGCGGGTAGGGGGGGATGATGCGAAAGAGGAGGAAGAGGAAGGAGGGAGGGAGGGAGGAGGGAGGGTGAGGAGAAGGGGGAGAAGGGTGGGGAAGAAATGAGAGTGAGGAAGGGAGTAGGAGGAGGAGAGAGGGAAGAGAATCCACCAGAACCTTAGAACCTTCTCAAATTGCCCAACCCCCTTTCAACCAGCAATGACCTCCTCCTCCTCCTCCTCCTTCTCCTCCTTCTGCTCCTCCTCCTCCAACTCCTCCTCCTCCTCCTCCTCCACATCCTCCTCCTACTCTTATTCATCATCATCATCATCATCATCATCATCATCATCATCATCATCATCATCATCATCATCATCATCATCATCATCATCATCATCATCATCATCATCATCATCATCATCATCATCATCATCATCATCATCATCATCATCATCATCATCATCATCATCATCTTCATCATCATCATCATCATCATCATCATCATCATCATCATCATCATCATCATCATCATCATCATCATCATCATCATCATCATCATCGTCATCATCGTCATCATCATCACCATCATCATCATCATCAGCATCAGCATCAGCATCAGCATCATCATCATCATCATCATCATCATCATCATCATCATCATCGTCAGCATCATCATCACCATCATCACCATCATCACCACCACCATCATCATCATCCTCATCATCAGCATCATCATATTACTAGTATGTTTCAGCATCATCATCTTCATCATCATCATCATCGTCATCAGCATCAGCATCAGCATCAGCATCAGCAGCATCGGCGTCGGCATCAACATCATCATTAGCAGCAGCAGCATCATCAGCATCATCATCATAAGCATCGTCACCATCATCAGCAGAATAGTACTAGAGATAATAATAAGCATCATCATCACCAGCATCATCGGAATCGTCATCGTTATCATCAGCATCATCGTCACCACCATCAGCGGCATCACCATCACCATCACCATCATCATCCCCATCCGTTCCAGTCTCCTCCTTCTCATCATCAGCATCAACAGCATCATCAGCTTCAGCATCATCATCATCATCATCATCATCAACAACAACAGCAGCATCATCATGACCCGTCTTCCTCCTCGTCCTCCTCCTCCACCTCCTCATCATCATTACCATCATCATCAGCAGCAGCAGCAGTCTCATCAGCCTGATCAGCCTGATCATTATAAGCACGAGCATCATCATAAGCATCATAATCATTATCAACGTAATCACCTTCCTCATCACCAACATCATCACCACCATCATCGGTATCATCAGCATAATCCTCATCAGCAGCACCATCAGAATCATCAGTATCATCAGCATAATCATCAGCGTCAGCAGCACCATCATCAGAATGATCATCATCATTATTGTCATCGTCATTATCATCGTCATCGTCGTCATCCTCATCACCCTCATCATTGTCATCTTCTTAAGCGTCATCCTAATCATGATCCGTGCCCTCATCCCGCCTCCTGCTCCAAACTCCTCCTCCTCTTCCTCCTCCTCCTCCTCATCCTCATCCTCAGCCGCCGCGGACCCAAAGGGACCTTGCCCGCGCGCACTTCGCAGCGGCGCAGCGCTGGCGAGCCATGGTGGATGCGAGGCAAAGCTGGGCGTCACCAGCTCGTCCTCAAGCACTCTTGCAAGCATTAGCTCAGCCGAGACGAAGATTAATGGCAAGATCGATCCCAATTTGTTTGGCAAATTCGTCATTCCGGTTGACGGTGACGCTGGGGACCACTGCAGTGAAGATCGTGTCACTGGAGTCACGTGACGTATGCCGCGTGGGGCCGTGGACGCGCGGAGCATTCTGCGTGAAGATGGCAGTGACCGAAATTGGCTGAAGTTCTCCATCATTTCCCTGTGCAAGATCGTTTCGGTCTGACCTGGGGTCGGGGGCGTGGGAGGGTGGATCCTTCCGCGTACGGCTGCAGCCTCACGACGTTCCTCCCTGGGACTTGGTAGGGTTGGCTTGGCCCTTTGGGGACTGGGGCCTTGTGTGGCTCCTCGTAGCCGGGCATTGTTGGCTCGGCATAGTCGACGCCTCACCTGGTGCGTGGGTGGTTCTTCCCCCCTCCGAGCCCTCCTCCTTATCCTCCTCATCATCCTCCTCCTCTTCCTCCTCTTCCTCCTCCCCCTCCTCGTCCTCCTCCTCCTCCTCCTCCTCCTCCTCTTCCTCCTCCTCCTCCTGCTCCTCCTGCTCCTCCTGCTGCTCCTCCTTCGTATCCTCCTCATCACCCTCCCCTCCTCCT